TAAGAGTTCTAAGGAATCCACTAAATGCATGCAGCATCACTGCTGAACATCTGTAACATCTAGATTATTATTTCACACCACAATACAGAAAAGGACAGCTGTGCTTCTCTTTGTTTCTCAGCTTTTATCACTTAGAAGATAGATAAACTTTATGTACTATTACTTCACTCAATCCAACGGGAGTCCAGTTAAGACCTCATTTCCCTACCTCTTGCATTGCTAGTGATAGACATACTGGGCACAAAGGTCTGCTACTGTAAATAAAAACAGACACTAAAAACACTATACTGAATTCTATAATCTATTTACTTCTACGTCATACTACTTTTCCCACTGTACACAAGGGAAAACAAATCGCTTTAGTAAAATACAGAAGTATTTTTTATGCCATCTTCCAAAAGAATCAAAATCCTTCTTAGGTGATTTTTTCTTCATAAGTTATTTTCCTAATTGTTAATTATCTGTGCCACACCAATAATGTCCTCAGCTACTTTGTGTGCCGTCACTAATTAAGGCTGTACCTGTCCAGTTTTGGAATGAAGGAAAACAGTATCAAGAAGTTTCTGTGCATCGACAGAAGCCATCAAATTACTCAGGAAGTCACACGGAACATTCTGGAAAAAGCAGCTTCAGGAAAATTTTCAACATGCATGGATTCGACTGAATTGAATTCGGGTACCACAAGAACAGAACACAGCTAGAGAAATCTGCTATTTTAATCTGTTCCTTTTTTTTTTTTTTTTTTTTTTCCTTCTCCTGTTTCTTCCAGGCTTGTGTTGTTTTGCTTTTTGCCAACAGGAAACTACTTATGCAGACAAAATAAAATGAAACTAGGTCTTTCCATCTCATCACTACTGTGCAGGAACTGAAATGGGAAAAGGGACTACATGACTTTTACTACTTTTCCCAGTCTCCTGAACAGCTTCCTGAGGCAATGTAAAGCAACAAACTCCCTGCAGTCTATGGGACTCCAGTGGTTTACACTTCTTGCGAGGGACTCAATAGATCCAAAGTATATGAAAGCAGATTTTTTTTTTTTTTGAGTAAACTCATGAAGGAAAAGTGCTGATCAGATATCTGCTGCTCTAATGTCAAATGCTTAGATGCTTTTCTGTTCTTGGGAATAGGAAATTTTTCTCAGAAAAAATTCGTCATCTTTCCCACTTGTTCCCACTTGTAACATTCCCACTTCAAATTGCCCACACACTAATTTTGCATACTTTCACTGCCACTTCCTTCATAAGCACGCAATGCTATAGCATCCTTGTAATAGGTCTTATACCATTATAGAAAATGTCTTGCCATAGCTAATTTTCTTTTCTTTTCAGCCATGCAAAATTAAGTATGAGCTGATTTAAAGCAGTTCTAGCATTTGTGTAGGTCCTTTCTTATATTCTGTTTACAGTTCTGTTAACAGAGTTCATAAAGCTAGTTTAAATTCACAAAGCATTTCAGAGCTTCTAATTCTTGTAATTTGACACAATAAGCTATTTGGGGAGTGGCAGAACAAGGCAGATTTGATATAAAATTATTTTGCTCCTATGCATTTGTAGCTAAACAAAGCTTTATTTATTAAGAAAACACCAAGTATAAAAAAAACAAAAAACAAAACAAAACAAAAAAACACAAAAATAACAACCAAACAAACCTGTTTTTTTTTTGTTGTTGTTTTGTTTTTTTGTTTTTGTCAAAGCCCAGGCTGAATTATTTCACTATGTGGAAAAGTAGTACCATAATAGAGGGAAAAATTCTCACATCAGTCTACAGGACAGCTGAAAGCACATCAAGGACCATCAAATAAAGAAAACTAAAGAGGAAGATAGAGTGTACTTTTGTTAAATTTCTCAAAATTCAGATCACTTGGTGAGAACAAGTCAGCAGCTGCAGGATATTCAGCAGAGCTGTATTTAGGATTCACTTCTCCACTTGCTCTAATAAATGCACACCACATAACAAAAATGGACATATGGCTGGGGAAATACATTATCATTATAAAAACTTTTTAAAAAAAGAGTTCATAAACAGGCGGAGTATACTGGCTGGTAACTTTAAGACCTTCTTGCACCACTGACCTAATGACTGAAACGTGTTACAAAAGGGACTCCTCACCACTGCCACTTGCACAGAGGCTGTTATTTCACACAGAAGCATCTAACATTTGTAATCCTGCCCTTAAAAACTGCAGGCGAGTTCACTGAGCAGCTGGAATTTTCACATCCATGTGACAAACACACCACACCCACCACGAGACAGCGACTTTCATATCAAGTGTTCAAGAAGGGCAATTTTTTCTCTTCTTGACAGCTATCCTCAAGTCAGAGCCACATTTTCATTCACAGCCCCACTTTAGCAAGGGAATAACACACACCCCCTGGTTACACACATCTTCCAAACATGACTAAGTTTCTTCTCGGATTAAAAAGCCTCTCTGTTGTGAGTAACCTTCACAACATTGCTCTTTTCCAAACGAGGGAAGGCACACCCAAAGAGTTCATCCAAAAAAAAAAAAAAAAAAAAAAAAAATAGAAAAGAAAAAAAAAAGGGCAACTTTTCACAAAAACAAACCTCCTGCTCCACCTGCCCTGAGCACGCAGCCAGCCTCGCAGCTCCACACACAGCAGCCACTCTGCCTCAACGTGCACAGCTACCAGAGAGCCCACTGCAGACTGCATTACGGCTAATAAGTTCGTAAGACAGCCATGGCTATGTAACAGGAGCAGCTATCAGGACAAGGTTTGAAGCTACAAACCTGCTAAAAGAAGAAAGGTAGGACTTCCTCAGCCAGCAGCTGCGTTCAGCCATTACTCCTCACCATCTGGCTGCTGCCAGAGGGTCATGCTGTCACACCACGCAGCACCTCTCTCTTCCGGCCACAGGCTCCTGGGACATGGTGAGCTGTGCTCCATCTGCTCGTGCAATGAACAGGAGCTGTAAGGAGCACAGGATATTGTCCCAGACAGCCCTCTGGGGCAAAGGAGGCTTCCAAACCAACATGGCGCTTCTCCATGTCTTCTCCACAGCAGAAAGTCGCACACAGCATGTAAGGCCTTTCCTGATTGGCCGCTGCCACCTCCTTCTGGAGCCCGCCAGAGCAGGGCAGCCAATCACACCTCCCGGCTCACCAGGGGGTCTCTCCTCCTGGCACCAAATGGCCACCAGCTGATGCTGCCACAATCTGGAGAGCTCCAGCTAGCATCTCTCCTGTGATGAGGGCTGGGCTACACTGCCCCTTCTTGACCATAGGAGGCTCTTGTGGCAGCTGCTGCTTCAAGGACAATGCAGCTGGGACAGGCTGTGGAGAGCACAAGAGGAGACAGCAGTGAGGAGGTGATAGGAGGGTCTGAGGGGCTGTATGGGACAGGGACATGGAGGTACTGGAGTGAAGCAGAAACACCCTGGCAAGCTGGGACAGAGATGATGGTGATGGCAACTGGGATGTCCAGGCCACCCTTTACCTGCCCATTTATTGGTAACATTCCTTGCGAAACAGGTAGGACCTGAACTCTATCCTTTCCTCACTGTTCTGACAATGACCCATGTTCTTCATGGCAGGAGAGCTGTGGGGTTTGTGCTGTGAATCTTCTGCTAATTCCAGAGAGCTGCCAGGCAGGTCTACTTCAGCAGCCCTCCTCCCTTGTGGAGGAATAGGAGCTCAAATTCAAAACTCTTCATTAATTGTTTTCTTTATTAAAATGTGTTTTTTTCTTTTCATAACTACTTTTTCCTTTAGGAATAAATAGTTCCAAAATCAACCTTTTTAGTCGGAAATGTGTAAACATTTCCTGTAGACAGATATGTTCAGCAGAACAAACGGTATGACATGCCTGCATCAGAATGATTTGGCTCAGTTCAGCACGAAACCACATCCTCCTGCACCAGCAGCGTGCCTTATTCCTCCCTGAGCTGCAGTGACTCAAGTCCTGCAGAGCACCACAGGATGCGCTATAAAGGGAGCAGACACTGAGGACAGTGGTAGACGTGGGTTACTCATTGAGCCTGACCTAGAGGGAAATGCTGCATGAGAACCTAAAGCACAGCTTCTATAAAGCACAGCTTCTTTAAAGCACAGCAGTAGCACATTCAATTGCTCCTGAATGAGGCATTTTCATGTGCATGAAACCAACTTTTTACTCAACACTAAAACTATGCGAGTTTTTGTAACAGATGTTCCCTTCCTCCCACACTCCCTCCAACTCCAAAACTTTCCATCCAGAAAGGCTTCCAAAGTAGCCCTCCTGATTTCTGACTGGCTCTGTCTCAGACAAAAGGTCCATCTATACTTCAGGCAAGAATTTCACAAGCATTAGTCTATAGAGAGCATGTTCCAACAAAAGATAAGTACAAACTGACAGCCCTCAGCTCTGAATTCAGATATAGTTTTTTAGTTAGTTACGCACACAGCCCATTTATTCATTCAAGCATTAATCTTTATAAACTGGCTGTGCCATCCTCTGTGAGGTGGGAATAATAATAATAATAATAATAAAGCAACTTTTAAATAATTGAGAGGCAGCATAGTGCTACAGCAAGGAGGGCTTTGACAGAAAGGATGGTGATTTGTACTGTGTATTCCGTGCAAGTCAGTTAAACCTGTCGCAACACATTACAGTCCCCGCTCGAACTCCATCTGCATGGCAGCAGCCCGAACGGTGCAACCTCCCTCCTTTTTTCTGGCACTTCCAACTTCACAACGGTGAAGCCCGGCGCACGTAAAATCGCCCCTTACAGCTCAAGCAGCGGCAGGGCGCACCCCGACCCGCCAACATCCGGCTCCCGAGGGCGGCTGCCTGCCGGGCGCTGCCCGCTCCTTCCCGCCCGCCGCCGGACGCCCCCGCGCAGCGCAGGGCGGAGGTTGCCGCACGCTCCCGCGGCGGGCCGTCGCTCGAGGCACGCGGCGCACCAGCAGCCAATCGGGCGCTTCCTTTCATCCGCGGGCGGCGGCCGCCCGGCCCTGCCCTGCCCGCGCGCCGCCGAGCGCTCGGCCCCGCGCGCCGCCAACCTGATCGGCGCAGGATGTGGCCTCGCGGTGACGTCAGGGCCAGATGTTTCCCCAGACCACGCCCCGCAGGGGTCCGGGCCACTCCGAGCAGCGATAACGGGGAGAGCTTATTCCGCTGTCACCGCGCCATGCAGGGGCTGGGGAAGCCGCGTCGTTATCGTGTGACGCGCTCGAAAACGCAGCATTAATTCACGCTCCAAGCAACAGGCTGCCGGTGCCGGGATCTATCTGCTCGTCTTTTCCTTCTTCCATTGGACTTCAGCGCTTTTTTGATCTAAGGACAAGCTGGGCGTGATCGTCACGAACGGGGTTGCGTTTTTGATGGCTGCTAGGTCAGGCTGGACTTCTCCACAGAGATCTTCAGAAATAAGGAAGGGTCTGCTTGCATAACCTTTTTTTTTTTAACAGAAGGAAAAGTGCCTTTTTCTCACCTCTTCTGTTTGGATTTCTTTTTGGACTTATGAAAAATGGCAACGGCAGCATACGTGGATCATTTTGCAGCAGAATGCCTTGTTTCTATGTCCAGTCGTGCTATTATCCATAGTCCCAAAGGGGAGACTGATCCCCAGCCTGATGTCACAATGTGTCCTTCGTCGAATGGAGAGGAGAAGTGGGAAGTCAGAGAGACTGGGAAGGACAATGGATCGTCGCTGATGGTGGTAGCCAGCATTTTAGCAGATCTGAACCAGCACGTCCCAAACTCACCCGCTCTCAAAAGGGAAAAAACAGAGACCTTTGATATCACAGAAAAAATACACATTTCTATCACTCCTAAGGAGTTTGGGGAAGAAAGTGTGTCTTCGGCTAGTAAGCGTGGAGGAGGAAAAGCAACCACACCTACTAGCCTGGCTGCAGTAACTGAGCCAAGCCCAAGACAAAAGAACAAACGCGGGAGAAGCTGGACTGACCCTGGATCACCCCAGAAAAAGCACAAATGCCACTATGTGGGGTGTGAAAAAGTTTATGGCAAATCTTCCCATCTTAAAGCTCATCTAAGGACCCACACAGGTTAGTTGCAATCCAGCCAGAGATTTATTTGTTACAGCTTGGTAATTAAAATGAATGTTGGAAAACAAACAAAAAAACTTGTATTTGGCCGCCATTAAGTTTTCACCTTTCAGAACTCACGCTAGGAAAAACTAACCAACCAAAAAAAAAAAAAAAAAGAAAAAAAAAATAAGTCCTCTGGGAATAAACCCTCCTTACTGGGCATTGGTTCAAAGCTATGTTGCCCTTTTTATTACCTAATATCACAGAGAACGGAGCGTTTGTCGTCTGTGTGGATCCTACCAAGCTGTAATTTTTAGTTGCTAGCTGCCTTCTTCGGTGCATCTTCTACTTCCCTTTCCAAAGCTTCTTACCCTCCCCCACCTACTTTTTCCTGCCTTGTGCTCCCATCGCTGCCTTTATACCTGTTTATTGCTTCCCATACAAGAATCAATACCCTTAATACTTTAAAATTAAATGTTCTAGAGGCATCCAAACGGCTGTGTTTGTTTCTTTCTTTAGCAGGCATTTTTGTGAAACTAGAGCAGGCAAGAAGGCAGTTGAAAGGCTAAACATGAGTCACAAGGAGATACTGAACATAAGTGCAGAGGGACATGGGCGGCCTCAAAAAAGCTTTTGAGGGCTGATTTCAGTAGCAACAACAACAACAAAACATTTGAACGCTAACGCTAACTTTTTCTGACCAGCGTTCACTTCTTGGTGAATTTGACCCCTTCTTTGTTGCTGTTGTATGAGTCACGCTCACACAAAAAGTTGAAGCCTTGCAAGCACCATGGAAGCTATTGAAACACTTAGGAATACTATCTTGAAAAGGGCCCCGTGATACGCCATACTTCACACCTCTGCCTAGTGGTGGGGAGCAGGATGGCCTGCTTCACATGGGGAGCACCAGAAACTGGGGAGATTAATCTCTGCTGGAGATCTGGGCAAAGCACTTATGGCAAGGCACCACACAGATGAAGGCAGGCTCGTGCAAGCTGTTCCACTGAGTTATTCAGACAAATTAGTTTACTAAAGTCTGTGATCAGTTTACTTCTGATGTTCAGAAAAAGATCAGAACCACACGATAGACACCTCCTGAACCATTAGAAATTAGAAGTGGCAGCCCCACCCACACAACCAGACCTCTACATGTATACCTAGCTTCTCCTGCTGCCTTCTTGGTATAAAACAAGAGCCACGCTAAACTGAGGATATGTTTTGCTCCGTGGGAGAGAATAAAGACCCATCAAGTGAGAGCATATGGACGGACAATTCCCTGTGCAGCACAGCCAAAGGAACAGCGTGTTCCTGGCACCCTGGGCAGCTTGCCCTGCTTTGCACTGTGCAACTGTTCTCTGCCTGTTTGGAGTTAGACAGAAAAGGTGTTTGCATGGAATCGTCTCCATTATTTTCAGTTCTTTTGCTCTCATTTCTGGCCTTTGCCATTGCCCTAGAAGTGAAGAATAAACTCAGCAACGTTACTGGGTTCTAAAACCAACTGGATACCTAGGGGAACTCCCCGATTAAAGAGGAGGGCTGGGCCATGCCCACCCTGCAGGGAGTGGAGCAGAGTAGGGGGAGCAGCGCTCTGGGCTGCCACTGAGCAGAGTCATTTGGGGACGCTGGCTTGCCTCCAGGTTCTCGCAGTTGTGTGGGTTGTTTTTTTTTTAACTCTTCATTTCCTGTATTATTTTTTTTTTTTCAGGTCTGTAGGGCTTAATTAGTCATTGCTGTAACTAATGGCACAGAGAGAGAAGGAGAACATGTGCAGGAGAGCTAGAGGAAAAGCAGGAAGAGGACTGGTTTTGCCCAGGGAGTGGCAGGACCCTCAGGAACTAGAGCTTCTTTGTGTTTTTTTTTTGTGTCTCCAGTGTCTGTGTGGGAAGCTTTAAACTAAGCTGCCAAGTCTTCTTCCTCACTGGCAACAGGTCTGTCCCTGTTTGGATTCAGTTTTAAAGGCTTTAACACCTCTTACTTGTCTTTAGTGTTTCCCAAGGTGTTTGTGCTGTTTTTATTTATTTTTCTTAAAGTAAGCTGTGACAGGCTTGGAAAAGCTAACAATATGCAGTGACTTACAGACTGGTTGAACTCCAAAACACATAATGGGGTTCTACTGGTTTAGAACATGGGCCTTGGGTCTCCTCTGCTTTTCAGCAACCAAAAAACTTACCTATCTAAACATGTACACATTGGTCTACCCATCTGTCACGTGCATAGGATAGTGGCTAGCCACACCACCAGACAGTGGATCAAGCACTCCAGTAGAATGTGAAATGTACTTTAAGCAGCTGCTCTAGTAACTCCCAAACCTGATTACTAAGCACCAACCAAAAGCTTCTGCTATGGAGTGAAAATTTTCACTCCATGTGCTGTATGACTAGACCAGCTGGTATTTAGGGGCAAATTGAAGTACTGCAGGCTAGAAGATACCAATGATAGTGCTGGAGGTATTTGTACAGTGTAGTTTATGAACAGCTTTAGAAACTTGCTTGCCTTTGTCAGCCACTGTGCTCACAAATTAAAGGCTTTGCTCTTCATGTCTGGAAGAAGGGCAAGCAATATCACTGATGTTACGGCGTGGCGTGGCAACACTTTCAAGTGTTATTCAGTTAAATCTAGTCCACATTCATACAAACTGAAAGCTGGCATTATTTTCGGGCTGTTTGGTGTTTCATATGAATTCTTTCAATTGTTCTAGCTCAATTTCAGTGCTCAAGTGGCCAAAGCAGACAGCAGTGTATAGGATGCTAATTAACCCATTTCTAACGGAAGAAAAGCTAGAACAACAAAGGAGGCAGCATCTTCCTTTTTTCCTTAGGTCATTGCTTGGACTAAAGTGTTTTAGAGTGAAGCTATATGTGCTAGAGTGATCCATAGTGTCTTGTATTTTGTATGCCAGCAAGTTAGGCTAGCTTAACCTTTGGAATGCTTCATCTTTATTAACAAAAACAACCTTGAACCAGGCAGATAACACTGGTCACCAAGATGTCTGCAATTCTCTCTGCCAGCCTGCAAACCCTTCCCCATCCCCCTAGGTTTCCTTTCATGTTTATATTTTCCACCCCACCCACTCACTGGATGTGCTGGAGTTTACCATGATCATCAGCCACAAAGCCCTTGAAGATTTAATGTTTACCAGAAGGTTATATTTAGTATCAGTGGGTAACGTCAAGTCCAGATTCTTTTCCACTGAGGTTCCCGTGGACCTCAGAAGCTGTGTTGTGCTCCACAGATGCAGCACTCTGTCTAAAGCTGTAGTGATCTCATTGATAAAAAATTCCACTGGCCTAGCAGTTTAAGAAATCCCCTTTACTCCTGAGAAGATTCCTCACCAGAAAGTACTTGTGGAAAATCAGGCAAAGCACTTACATTACAATGTTTTCCTCTTAAGCAAGTTTTCTGCGCTGGCTTACTAGGCAGGTTTGAAAATTCTCTGGAGTCACTGGTTACCAGTTAGCATCTCTGATGCTTCAGTGGGAAGAAAGAGTGCAAAGCCTGACAGCCATCTCAAGGTGGAACCTCATAGCACATGATCCACAACTCTTGTGTTTTAAGAAGTTATAGAGCGCATTGACTCACTGCATTATACAGCATACAAATATACAGAATCCCCAAAATTCTACATATTACAGCTCCCCCCAAATCACTGCGACCTCTAAAGCTTTTACCCATCCTCATTAGTACCTCATCATACATGCACAGAAAGCACAAAATACAGCATTGCTCAATTATTCCAGTGAAACTCCCTTCTGAACGTCCGAGTAATGCTCACTGAGCACTACGCCAGAATGTAGGAGGTGGTTTTCAATAACCAGAAGCGAATGTGTTTGCACTAATTAGTATGAGCTAAGGAGAAGTAGCCGCCAGTGTCAGTCTGAAGAGCTACTGTGATAAGTGTGTCTGGTGGGACAGCTCACTTAACAGTGGCTCCTCTGTCGTATTGTTAAACTGTCACAGCTTACTTCTCCATTGCTGCCTGGGCATGGAAAGAGACTACCTTATTTTAAGGCAACACTATTGGAATTTTTAGGTAACACTATTTTAAGGCAGTAACACAATTTCAAGGCAACACTAAGGAACCCATATGAAAAAAAAAACACCAATGTTTAACTTACCATTTCTTCTCAGTACCATTTCTTCTCAGTCATTTCCCTAAAAATTTTTCTAATGAATTCATAACTGAGACCTGTGAAGGTGGGAAAAGTCATAATATATTTGGTATTCGAAAGCAGTCTTCTGACATACAAATGAATTGGGCCACACTCTCACAAGGGTAATATGCCAGCAAACAATTAGGCTGGACAAAGTAGGGTGGTATCCAACCTGTGTTTAGGTTTGCAAAGGAGCCTTGATATAAAGTACAGATAGTGTTTTAAAAGGAAGGATGGTTTTCACTTTCAGTTCTAGTAAATCTGATTTGTTCTACATTAAATTAAAGCACAGCAGTTAGGCACAACTTCTTTAAAATGCATCTAAATCACCTAAAAAAAAGCATCACAAAAATGCTCGTGAAGAAACTGAGCAATAAGCATAAGGTTGAGCAAGTTCACACTCCAATAAAATAAGGTGTATCTTACATTTTAGCACCTCCCAATAACTGGAAACTTACGAGTTTATCTAGAAAAAAGTGGACTAATTCTGGTTCTGGCTTAAGTTCCCTTTTAGCTTCCTTTGTGCAAGCATGTAATGACTGCAAAAGGTGGTAAATGTGCATGAGCTAAAGGCAGGCAATGTTGATAAAGAAACAAATCCTTACAGAAGGCTGCAATCTGAGAAACTTGACACAATTCCTCCTGTTACCCAGCTAGTGCTGTGTACCACTAGTTCAGATCATCTTCTAAGCTAGCAGCTCTGGATGCCAGACTGAACATGAAGCTCCCTTCACTCTCAATGGGACACCAGCAGAAACTGGAAGTGATTTCCCACAAGCAGGAGTACAGTCTAAGCAAATTTAGATGCTGTTCCACAATCTCAGTTTTGGTGGCTCGGCCTCCAGTTTTTTTTACTTGTGTCGATGG